TTCGCGTAGTTGGACCGCCCGACAATCTCGGCCTCGACCTGGAGCTGGGTGTGGATGTAATAGATGTCGCGCGCGGCCTGGATCGGGTGGTTGCGCAGCCGCAGCAGCGACTTCATGGCATCGGGGAAGCGGTTCTTCTTGATGTACCAGCGCGGGGACTCTGGGCAGATGTAGATGAGCAGCACGAGCGGCAGGGCCGGGATGAAGGCGGACCCGAGCTGGAGGCGCCAGGCGATGGCGCCGGTCTTGGCGACGGCGAGGTTGGCTGCCGTTCCGGCTGCGATGCCGAAGGCTGTCCAGAGTTCTGTTGATGTTGCGGTCAGCATACAGCAGGAACTATACATGTGACTCTCGTCATGATATCTATATCAAAATGGGGGAGAGGGTGGTACTCACGCCACGTCATGACGAGAGCGCCGCGAATCGGCGCGGGCGAGTTCTCGGCGGCGAAGATGGGCACCGTGCTGGCTTTCGCTCCCATGCCGATACCGAGGAGGATACGGCAGCCGAGCAGCTGCGGCCAGGTCTGGGAGAAGGCGCTACCGATGACGGGCCAGAGGCAAAAGTTGGCGGCGAAGAAGATTGCGCCGCGGCGGCCGAAGAAGTTGTTGAGCGGGTCTGAGAGCCAGCAGCCGATGAGGGCGCTGCCGATGTATGGCGCCGCGTTGACGAGGCCGACCTTTTGAGAGTGTTAACATGTGATGATACCAAGAACATGGCTTGCGGGTGAGTGAGTGAGTGAGACGTACAAGGAGAGTATCATGGTGCGAAGTACCCCCAATCCCAAACACCGTGGGAAACGACAGGTTCGCGCCGTTGCTACCCGTCTGATCCCATCCCTGGACAGCGGCGCCGATGGAGCAGGTGATGATGGTGAGGTACAGGATCTTAGGGATGCGCCACTTATGCTCGATCTCGTCGCGGAGGACCTGGATCTCGGTGGCGTCGAGGGCCTCGGGGCCGTCAATCTCCTCGTAGCCCGTCGGGTCCTGGGCGACGAGGGCGCCCTTTTTCAAGACGGGTATGTATTCTTGCAGGCCCTTGTCGTGGGCAAAGGCTTCGACGTCGCGGAGGAGCTCGGCGCGGGTGATGCCGAGGAGGGGGTTCCTGATTCTGTTGGGTGGGTGGTTAGTTTACGTTCAACTGAGGGAACTGGAGGCGGATGACGGACTTTGCGTCGACGTTGTCATTTAGGTCTACTGTTGCTTGGGATCCGCGACGGGCTTTCTCCATGTTGGAAAAGTCGCCCGAGCTGGGCGTGTTAGTTGAAGTTTGAAGATTCATTGTAAGTGAGTAAGGCTTACACCGCGGCTCCGTCTAGGTGTTTGTCGTCCGCCATTGTTGCGGCGCGTTGAGTACTATCGACGACTCAATGCTTGATGGCTTCTTGGTTGAAGTGTGAGTGTTTCGAGCTCTATACTCTTGGTCTATCACAAGATGACAATCAAGTCTCTACGATAGAATGCGCCTTGAAATCCGAGAGTGATCGTCCAACTCAAAGACAGGGCTCGGACGAGGAGAGGGGGAAACCGGGAAAGCATGGGATGGGCGCTGCCTGGTATTTGTATCTCTCCCACAGACAACTTCTCATCCCAACCTCTGCACAAGGTTCACGGAGACCAGATCGGCGCAACCACCTTCCCCCGCAAGTCAAGAACGGCAGCTCGAAGGCGTCTGTCAACGCGAACTAGGTAGACCGGCTTTGTTCCCCCCTCTCTCATGTCAATGGGACTAGACCACAGCGTACGAGCATCCAGAGGTAGATCCACAATGGGGCGACCCATGGGGAAAGTCCAAACCTTTGAAAGTGGATTCGCTGGGGTTTGGGGGGCAGGGAGATGGTAGCTATTGTTCAGATGAGCCATGGAGCAAATAACATCCCCTCACGCGCGCGTGGTGTATGTGAATGGCACGACTGGGTACCATGACAGTGGCGGCTCTCTCTTGGCCTGACCAAGGCAGCGGAGAGCATACTAGACTTCATGGTTCGCGAGTTCGGCCTTGCATGGCCCATCGTCTAGATTCCCGTGTCTAATTGGGCTACCGGTCGAAAGAGATGTAACGATGCTCCGCAAGGGCGCATCTGGGTTGTGCGACATTTGAGATCTCCACCAGCAGTGGCTGTCATTCGAAGTGAGTTCTGCGGACCAAAGCCCGGCGCCTTGGTAGCGCTCCTCTGTTTTGGGGGAATCGGGCAGAGATCGGCACAATATGATACCGGCTGCTAGACGCCGCAGACAGCAAAGTCGAAAGCAAAAGCTAAGCTCTTCGGGTCAGCCTTGGCCGTTAACGGTCCCGTCTTCGACTGAACGGATTCATGGTTCTGAGGGTCCGTTGCTCTCTAGCCGTATCCTTCAGTCAAAAACCCATGGCTTTCCCCAGACTGATCTTGCTTCTCACTTCCTCCCCAGGAAAAGCACGTCGCGGCGGTTGAGTCCTGGCACACGCAACACACGTTGTGTGGGAACGTCCGTGTAGCAAGAGATAAGGACAGGAACCCTGGCCGTTCGAGACAAGACGTAATTAAAACGCGGGTCCCTGTCGGACGGATACCGTCAGAAGTACATTTGAGTGCAAGACTCAAGCACATCCGAGAAGGTTGACCGTCTTAATTGCCCTTGTCGTAAACATGCGAGGTAAACGAGCGAGCGGGCTACTGTGCGGCGCAAGACGGGAATGGCGTTGTCAGATGAGATGCTATCCAATTGCCGATCCCACTATGTTTGGAGAGTAGCGCCGTTCCCGGGGTAGGCTATCGACCGGGGGGGAACGCTTCGAGGCGGGATCGTTTGTGGATTCTGTCGTTGGAGGCTTGGAGATGCCGCCACTTATCTCGGGGAATTTGGGAAAAGCCAAGACAGGACAAGAGATCTCGTCGAGAACGCCAAGAACGGTGAGATTGACGCCCTAGTCGAGATCAAAGTCCGTGTGGCTTCTGCGACCGTGAGGTGAGGTCGCCATTGCATCTTTCTGCTTACGCTCCGAGAATCTAGAGGTGACAGAAAACAAACCGGGTACGCTTTCTTGACTCCGGGTTTGCGGGGTTTGGGGCACAGAAAATGCGTTCTCCATACCCAAAGATGGTTGAAAGGGAAGAGGACACAAAAGAGAGCGCGCTCGACCGGGATAAATCGACTCCTCATTTCGACGCCAGCATGAAGACGTCACCGTCTGGAGGCGGTATGCTTGCCATTGGTCTTTTTGGCAGACCAGTTATCGACATCTCCACTTGGAAACCAACCGAATGGCTTTCTAGGTACTTAGACTGTAGACATGGTGCCATAGTACGAGGGCACAGAGGATTTGGTGGGGCCAAGTCGGCAACAGCTCGTGTAAATCCGTCCCTGGAGTTTCATAGTACCGACAAAAGACGGCGAAAAGGCCGCGTGATTATTTGGTAGATTTGTGGCGCATTTTTTGACAGGAGAAATCCCGTCTGAGTCGAATCGTCTTGTTAAATCACGAATCGCGAATTGATGAGGTGTCGTCGGCTAGAGTCGTAGCCAAGAAATCGTGCTAGAGAGCCGCCCGCAATGCCCAGAATTGCCGAGAAAGTGCCCAGCCCTCTAGAATGCTTGTATCGTCGTCCGCAAAAGCTTGGGCTGTCGCATTGGGCTATAGGGCCGATGATCGCTTTCCTCTGCACCCTTGCTGGAGGATGCAGCTCTCCAGAGAAGCATTACCCTCGATTGATTGGGTTGGGTTCTTGGCTGACTGATGGCACCGCAAGCACATGACCTTGTGACCGGGGTTTGTTCCAAGGACGACTTTGCACCTTTATGTCCTTCGGCCAAGTTCCCGGTCGATAGGTGAGGTCTGAGTCGTGTTGTCCTGACACTGTCAACCAGTACAATGGTCATTTTCGAGGGACCCCTAACGAACCCCGCGGGGCTGGTGGAGGTATTTCTATGCGTTTCTCCAAAAGGCTGTGGAGGCGTTTGCCCACCTTCATCCCCGCGGCGGTTCCTCCAGCAGGCGAAGATGATGCGGAGTCTAAAATATTGCTCAGTCTGACTGCCTTCGAAAAAAACAGATGTTGCAACTGTATTACAAGCTGATTCGCGAGTGCGTGTCCTGTTTTCTGCTCTGGGGACGCCCTTGCAGTGTCTACAGTGCCTTTACTCCATCTATGCTACTGGAAGACCTGCCACTGCGTCCTTGATCTTCTAGGAAATCCACCTTCATATCTGAGGACTGAGCCTACCTAGCAATGCTGGGGTTATTCTCCTGCAGTGATATGCTGCAATCATTCATGGCCGGAGGCCACGAAAATTGATTTTTTTTTAAGGTGTTCCAACTCCGAGTTTCGGGACGTACCGAATCTGAATTGCTGTCGAATTGCTGACATTTTGCTAACTTTTTTCGCAGTTGGTTTCACCGACACTGAGGATCATGAGCAGCTTTCTTATCGTAAGTGCCGCCAAGAACCAGGTCGCCATGAACCCCATAACACTGTGGTCTTCGATGCCAAGCGTCTCATTGGCCGCAAGTTACAGGACTTCGGGGTCCATAATGACAGGACCCATTAAAAGTTACAGCACGCCCGCTTTCCATTCATTGTTCACATCATGGATTCCTTTCTTACCTACTTACCTTAAGATACCCAGGAACGGATTACAAGTGTGGCATAGCATCCGAGCACCCAAGTGAATGGAATTCCGGAAAATTCTCAAAGCAGTCGGTGTTTCCTTGAGAAGCGATGTTGTGGGTGAGAAATTAGTAACCCTCTTTTTGACCAGACATTTTAACCTATATAAGGGAAGATCGCTCATCTGGGTACATCACGGATTCCAAGCTTGGACTTGAGTACCTCAAATAGCCGCGCCAGATATAAATGACAACAGAGCAAGGACTGGTATATTGTACAGGGGCATTTCTGGGCGAGGCCGAGGGCTCTAGTATTACTAGAATATTGAGAAGGGTATCGACCACCGTATATCATCGTCGGTCGTTCTCTGCCTGGGTTTGATACAGAGCGTAGGCCCCCGAACAATGAAGCCTTAGTAGTTGTGCTTGAGAACCGTTTTGAGAGCTGCAATCTCCTTCTCATACTTTGTGATCTTGACTTGACTGCCCTCGAGCTTTTCGAGCAGGTACGTTACTCGAGACCCGGTTTGAGCAGGCTGTTTTGGCAGGCTGCCCAACAGCGCCAGCTCTCCTTCAGCCTTTTCGATGACTTTTGCCTCAACCTTCGTAAGCTCTTTCAGAAGGGCCAAGTCCATTTTGGCCCTAAGAACACGGTCCTCAAGCAGAAGACTGAATGCTGCTTGGTACATTGGCTTTCCTGGGCGGATCGTTTGCGGCCGGCCATTGTAGGTCTCTACCGTAACGAGCTCTGCATTTGTAAGTCCTTCCAAGGCTGACTCCCCGTTCGCGGCGCCAGGGGTGGTGGAAGAGGCGAATGTATCGGACAGGAGAACCTCGTTGTATCGAAGAGCATCGTGAGAAGCAAGCGCCTTGATCAAGTACCACGCCTGCTCGGTGGACCATTTCTTGCCCTCAACAGTATCCTTGCCACCCAAAAGGTACATCTTGACGATTTCAGTGGCGCTCTGGTTGATGATATCTTCAATGGCGCGCTGGGGGCTTTGGCCACCCTTTAGTCGTCTAGCAAGGTATTCGAGATCTGTGAGACGGCCACCGAGGATTCCAATTGCCGAGTCCAGCTCCGAGAGATCGGGTTTTCGGTGTTGCTCGGGCTTATCCTTCTTCTCCTCTGCCTCCTTGGACTGTTCTCGGACCTTTTCAATTTCGTCCTCTTCGAGACGACTGATGATGAATTTCTTGGCAACATCAAGGGAGAGATCACCCAAAGCAGCTTGGCGGAAGACGCGATCCGGCATCGCCTTCGATAGCGATTTTGAGTAAGAGGTGTCGTCTGTCAAGAAGATGACGTGGGCAACATTATTCTGAACCATTGCCGCAGCCCATTCCGCAACCTTGTCGTAGACCAGGCTTGAGCCTTCGTTCTTGTGCAAAAAGTTATCAATGACCACAACAGCCCGCTTGTCTGGACGGGCCTCCAAGTATGCGTCGTCTGAAAGGTCGCCATCCTTGCCATCCTTGTCGCGCCCGGCGAGGGAGACTTCCTTTAGGGCCTCTGCGGTTGTGTGAAGGATTTTGACCACCTGCGACTCCAGCGTCTCGGAAAAGCCAGCCTTGACCCCAGTCGTGCTCTGAACTGCCAAATCGATCATGCTGCTCATGCTGTTCAAGAAAGCGAAGATCGGCTTATAGCCCACGGCGGCAGCTAGGTGTTTGATGGTTCCACTTTCGCCCCTTGCCTCGATGATCGGCTTGCAGTCGATCACCAAAACGTTTTTCCTACCCTTGAGTGACTGGTCCAAGACGAGCTCCTTTTTGCCTGAACCCCGAGGGCCCTGAACAACGATGAAAGTGTCGGAGCTCTCAAGGAGCCAAGTCTGGATCTGCTCGATAAGGTCTCGGCGATGCTGCCAAACTGCACTGAACCCGGCCTTGTCAGCCTTCTTGTGCCCAAATGAGGAGAAAATGTCGGAAGTCTGGCTCTTGATCCATCGGTAGAATTTGTTGTTGCTCAGTCGGAAAGAATGTTGGATGTGGGCCTTGACGAAGAATTCGCGTATGGGGTCGAAGATGGCCACTGTGATGGCAGCAAGGAGGGCGGCAACGACGGGAATTACCACCCTAGGATGGCTAGTGAGCCAGTTCCAGATGTTGTGCGGTTTGACCTTTTGCTCATAGGATAGGCGAAGCCTTGTGCCAATCTTTCCGCCACCAAGACCTTCGTCAACCAGGAATCCATGAAGACAATTTCTCGCCATGATGGCGTCGCGGACGCGCGCAAAGTCGATGTACGCATACTTTGGAAGAACCTTCGAGTCGGAAGGCTGTGAAGTTATCTCGGCAATTTTACCGTATCTGCGAAACAGACTGTAGAGGTTCTCCTGTGAGAGTTCGACGGCCTCGCCGCCTGCATCTTTTCCTGTGAACTCGACCTTGACACGACTTTTGGGAAACCGGTAGAGATCCTCTAGCCAAGGAACTCCCTTGACCAATCCTGCCTGAACCCCACGAAAGGGGTTGAACCATGGTCTGAGGGGATGTTTCTCCAGCGAACGAGCGAGAGATGCTTATGGGTGTTAGTCAGGCATTGACACGAGTTGAGGAGACTCAGTTTAAATAGCGACGAAGACGTCATTGCGGACTAGAACGAAGTTCAAACTCACTCTCAATATCTTTTGGTACAACGTCGGAGCCATGGCTGAATTTTACAAAAGCTCCTCCGTCCTTGAGTCGCGGTAGGATCTCTGTGACTTTGATTGGGAGATCGTCGGGGATCGCTCGTTTTACTAGGTTGATTGGATCGGTGCCAAGGCCTCCGCCAGAGCTATCGAAGCGCTTGAGAAGGTCGGTCAGGTCACGGTCTGACTGCCATGACCGTCGGAGGAGGTAGGTGAGCTTGAGAGGAAAGAGGTCTACCAGCTATTGTCAGTATTGTTTCCTCGCGCCAGCGCGCTGGCCGAAATGGACATTGAACAAGAGGCACAAAGGTGGGGGTGAAGAGGACAAGACCGTGAGTGGGAAGAAAGCAGGGGATGTGATCAAGGAGAGAAACGGAGACAGTGAAGGGCATCGATACGACACTTGATGCTCGGAAGAGGCCAAAATTGGGAGAGGGTAGGGACTAGACCCGAGGCGCGAGGTCCTGGGTCAGATGCAGGAATGACTCGGCTGAGAGAAGGGGTGACCAGAAATCTTACTGTCAAAGAAGAGAATGGATTCGCTCTCCGAAGTGGCGATATGCCCGGATTTCTCGTCGCCGGTTACGGTACTCTCCCATGCTTTGGACGCGGCGTGCACGATAGCTCCATGTCGCTGGAATTGAGCAATTGGCCGGGGCAGGCCCCATGTCATCTGCAGCCGAGGCGCAGGCCTCATGCCGGAGCGAAGCAGCGCTCTGGTAGGTAACATTGGATGGATGTCGATGCAGACTCACATGTTGCTCTGACAGCGAGTGGTGAAATTGAGTTTGAGGACGGGACGTTGAGAACAGCTGGATGGAAGGCAATGGAAGAGAATCAAGGCAGCCGACTAGCTTGCCTGCCTCACCTCACCTTACCAGAGCTGCTTAGCTCCTTCACGAGAAAGTCAGCCCCGGTGTTCGCGTGGGATGATGTCACGCTTTGCGGCCCCACTTGAAGGCCCCGGGCGTCCAACGCGCCCCATAACCTTAAGTTTCGAAACGGACGATATCTTATCCGAACCGACGACGCCCCACCAGAGCACGCGCAGCTATGGCAAAAATCATGCAACCACTCATTGGCTAGACGCGGCGTCTTGGAGGTCATTGATGGTAACGGTTGCCGACTTCCCCTCATTCTCGATTGCGTCCGACCTGCCCAAGACGATATCACCTTGGGACTTTGCCCGATTCTTTACGCTCTCTTCTGTTCTAAATCAACAATTTTTCGAAATGGGCTGGCTCTGGGCTTCACCATCTCCCCCCAAGACTCCCGCCCCGGGACAAGCTTCACAGGCTCCCGCGCCGACCCCGCCATCCTCGACTAAGACGACTGACTCCGAGATCGATCCCGAGATTGCAAAGTTCCTCGCCCTTTTCCAGAACGAATCGGGCAGTCAGCCAGAAGAAAAGGCGTCAGCGCCAGCACAATCATCCTCCACACCGTCCAAGTCATCATCGTCTTCATCATGGTTCTCCCTCAAATCTTCACCCGATTCCCCCTCTCAAACCAGCAACCGTGCAATCACGCCACCCTCCGACAATCCCGTGGCTGAGTCCACCCTTCCCACAGAGATGTCTTGCCGCCAGGCGTTTGACATGGCCTTTCACTGCCAGTCTGTCGGCGGCCAGTGGAACAGCATTTACCGATACGGCACGATGCGCTCTTGCAGCGAACATTGGGAGGACTTTTGGTTCTGCATGAGGATCAAGAGTTACTCGGGAAAGATGAAGGAGGATGCCATAAGAGACCATTATCGTCAGAAGGAGTTTGAAAAGTATGGAAATGGCAAGCCCAGTAGTGAGGACGTCTGGCAGGCAAGGACCACCAAGGTCCCACCGGGCATGGCATTTACGGAGAGTTTGGAGGAACCCACAATTAATGACGAGGAGTGGCAGAGGATGGAGATTGAGAGGCGGAAGCAGATTAGGCAGGGGCTCGGCATCGAACCCGCAGCATGATACAACTGTACAATAAGGATCCATCTCTTCTCACATTTTTGCGGCCGGGCAAAGTGAAGCCCTTTTACTACAACGACTACAATTTCCATTCATAATTGAGTCGTATGATTATGGGGAAGTATTCGAGTATAAGAGCACATCACAAGCATGAATGAATGAACAAATAATTTTACTGTTTTGTATTAGACTTCCTAAACCGCGGAGTCTAGCTAGAATACATCTCTGACCCATAACCGTGCTTTTCCCATCGTGATTTCATAAATGCAAAGAAAGCAAAAGTCTAGTCGTGAAACCCAGTGGCAGCCGATGCGGTGCCACACCCATGACTCGGACTCTAAGGAAAGAATTCATCAAGGGTATCAATTTAGTCAACCTCCTCGACGGTAGGGCCGTCGTCGTGGTTGCCGGGGGGAGCGCCGCCGGGGGCACCGGGGAAGCCGCCAGGGGCACCGCCAGCACCGGGAGGACCGCCAGCAGAGCCGTAGAACTTCATCATGATGGGGTTGGCAATGCCCTCGAGCTCCTTCTGGCGCTCCTCGTACTCCTCGCGAGTAGCCTGCTGGTTCTCGTCGAGCCAGGTGACGATGGTGTCGATCTCAGTCTTGAGCTTCTCCTTGTCGTCAGCCTCAAGCTTCTCGTCGACCTTGGAGTCGCTGAGGGTGTTGCGGAGGGAGTAGGCATAAGACTCGAGGCCGTTCTTGGCAGAGACACGCTGGGCCTCAGCCTCATCCTCATCCTTGAACTTCTCGGCCTCAGCAAGCATGCGCTCGATGTCCTCCTTGGAAAGGCGGCCCTTGTCGTTGGTGATGACAATCTTGTTGGACTTGCCGGTACCCTTCTCGACGGCGGAGACGTTCATGATTCCGTTGGCGTCAAGGTCGAAGGTGACCTCAATCTGGGGAACACCGCGGGGGGCGGGGGGAATGCCGGTAAGCTCGAACTTGCCGAGAAGGTTGTTGTCCTTGGTGCGCTGGCGCTCACCCTCGTAGACCTGGATGAGGACACCAGGCTGGTTGTCGGAGAAGGTGGAGAAGACCTCGGACTTCTTGGTGGGGATGGTGGTGTTGCGGGGAATGAGCTTGGTCATCATGCCACCAGCAGTCTCGATACCGAGGGACAGAGGGGCAACATCGAGAAGAAGGATCTCGTTGGTGCTCTTGGAGGAAGTGTCACCGGACAGAATGGCGGCCTGGACGGCAGCACCGTAGGCAACAGCCTCATCGGGGTTGATGGACTTGTTGGGCTCCTTGCCGTTGAAGTAGTCGGAGATGAGCTTCTGGACACGGGGGATACGGGTGGAACCTCCGACCAGGACGATCTCGTGGACCTGGGACTTGTCGACCTTGGCGTCGGTGAGGACACGGTCGACGGGCTGGATGGTAGAGCGGAACAGGTCCTGGCAAAGCTCCTCGAAGCGAGCACGGGTGATGGAGGTGTAGAAGTCGATACCCTCGAACAAGGAGTCGATCTCGATGGAGGTCTGGGCAGACGAGGACAGGGTGCGCTTGGCACGCTCGCAGGCGGTGCGGAGACGGCGCAGAGCGCGGGCGTTGGAGGACAGGTCCTTCTTGTGCTTGCGCTTGAACTCGTTGACGAAGTGGTTGACGAGACGGTTGTCGAAGTCCTCACCACCCAAGTGAGTGTCACCAGCGGTGGACTTGACCTCGAAAATGCCCTCCTCAATGGTCAGGAGAGACACATCGAAAGTACCACCACCAAGATCGAAGATGAGAACGTTGCGCTCGCCCTCGGCCTTCTTGTCAAGACCGTAGGCAATGGCGGCAGCGGTAGGCTCGTTGATGATACGAAGGACGTTTAGGCCGGCGATGAGACCGGCGTCCTTGGTAGCCTGACGCTGGGAGTCGTTGAAGTAAGCGGGGACAGTGACGACTGGGATATGTTAGTCAATGACCTTGATAGTGTAGAGACGTATATAACTTACCAGCATTGTTGACCTGGCCACCGAGGAAGGACTCGGCAGTCTCACGCATCTTGGTCAGGACCATGGCGGAGATCTCCTCGGGAGTGAAGGTCTTGGTCTCGCCCTTGAACTCGACCTCGATGTTGGGCTTGCCGCCCTTCTCGATGACCTTGAACGGGAAGTGCTTCATATCGGCCTGGACCTCGGAGTCCTGGAACTTGCGGCCAATGAGACGCTTGGCATCGAAGACCGTGTTGTGGGGGTTCATGGCGACCTGGTTCTTGGCCGCATCTCCGATCAGACGCTCAGTGTCGGTGAAACCACTGCAAAAAAAAGTTAGCAAAGTGTCAAAAATTTGGCAGCATTTCGGGCTAAAACTGACACAAAAGAGGGTGTCGTGCGGTTTCCCTGGTCGTTTGCAATGATTTCAATCTTGTCGTTGGAGTAGTATGCGACGCATCTGAGAGATGTTAGTGAATGTTCATCCAATTGCCTGGTGATGGTGACATGGGGGGCCAGAGGGCGAGGAGAGAGGGGGGAAAGAGAGCAGGCGGGAAAGAACTACTTACGAGTAGGTGGTACCCAGGTCGATACCGACAGCCTTGCCTCCGGAAGCCATTGTGATGGTTGTGTTGTGTGGAAGAAGAGTTGTGGTGTTTTGGGAGTTTGCGTGTGAAGGAGGGGTATCTTCGTGCGCGTAACCGGGAGAAGTTGTATTCCGGTAGAGTTGATATCAGCGATCAAGAATTCGGTGAAAAAAGAAATGCGCTGGACACTTCTGATTTTGATGGGTATTAAGAAGGAGAATGGTTTTCGTGAAGAGTGAGGAATCAAGAGATGCAGAAGGTTGGTGTTTGGATTCTTAAAAGGTAGACGGCAGGTAGGAGGCAGGAGCGACTCAGTGCCCCGCAAAAATTCGAAATGGTTCTTTCCTCTTCCACCTACCCTCAATTGGTGGGGTACCACATTCGCTGCGGCCCAGCTGGGGACACTTCCAGGAGCGTCTCGAATACGCCTGAAATTTTCTACCAACCCCTACAAGGATTAATTCGAGACTAGGGTCTTTTCAGCCTCTCCAGGAGGCAAAGTTTCCAATTTTCCAGGATTCGAGGCAATTCCCCAGCGCTTCGCAAGGCGATTCCAACGATGTGAGAAAGATTCTGCGAAAGGCGATTCGCTGACATCATACGCTTCCATGAAGTCTATGGAGGGGCAGCCCTTTTGCGCCCCTTGTCGCAGTACCCTGGCTTGGCTCCCATGCACGCCTTAAAACTGGTCTGTGTAGGTATCCTCTACTTTTCCCCTCTCGTCCACGAATCCACACCGCTCCAGAAAAGAGAATTTCCATCGCTGGTGAGGTGATATCATCCAGACTGGGCCACGCAGCTGGGCCACTGCGTGGCCCAGCGACCGGACCCAGCGACTCTTCATGAAGCATCTATTATCCACCACAACCATCTCGAATCTCCATTCTGGACCTTAGTCAGGCACCTCAATCTCAAGCAACCGAGGGGCGACAATTGAGTTCAACAGGAGGTGCGATCAATGTCGGCTGGGTTGTGAGCGCCAACAAATGCGGCGGCGAAAGTGAGAAGGGACGCAAGGAACTGCAGCATTCACAAGAACATTCAGGCAGGCTGATACTCCGTACAGCTGGCAAAAGGAATTGATTTGGGAAATCAGGCTGCTATCGCAAATATTCTTGGGATTGGTGGTATGTGAGGTGGTGAACACTGCATGCAGGTGCGCAAAGGGCAGCCTTTGTTGCCATGGCAGCCCAATGAAACCCACCATTGCGGGTTTTTTTTCTTCTGTTGCTCCTGTTCCTCCTACCTTACTGCTATGGTCCCCTCTCGTGCCTCTATGCTTTTTCTGTTTCTCATTTTCTTGGTACGTATTCGTACCTGATGCTCCAACGGATGGCAGTACCCAACAACGACTAAGCAACCAGAGGTGAAGGCAAAGACAGAACTTCCGACGACACCAGTAGGAATTGCAAAGGTACCTAAGGTGCTTTACCGACCTTGGGTAAGGGATGCACGGATACTCTGTACTCCGTAGAGATGGCCTATTAAAAGCTGCGACAATCGGAAATGACTCCACTTACCCGGCCGATCGGCCGGGCCTGACCAAAAAGGATCCCGTAATAAGTGGGTCTGGAATCGGGCTCGGAACCTCGATATGACCACAGCCCGGACGGCTGTTCGGGTACCAATGACTGCAGTCTCGCAAATGCATTTCAGTCGAGTTCTTGAAACCAATAGATTCAACCAAGTACTCGAACTAGTGAGTTTTACAAACACATTCGATTGCAAAGTGTACCACCACACGGGGGGACTAAATAATTGACCTCAAAGCGCGAGAGCGGCCTCTGCTAGTCAGAGATGTCGCATATCTCCCAGTCAGTCTGGTCCTTTCGGTCGCCCTAGGTATCCTCCTCGGGATCAAGAGACGTCGTTGAGTCGTAAACGAATCGACACGTCTCCTTACACTTGACATTGCCATCGCCTGCTTTCTCAGTGTGACCAGCCTCTAAAGGTTGAGAAGTGCTTTTTTCTTTGATAACGAATGGCTGCTGCCAATTTTTTCCGACATTGGGAAACCACTTGGCTTCAAGATTGCTCTTCCATAGCTTCTTTGTCTTCCTGTCGGTAAGTCGTTTGAGCCGGTCCGATTTTACTTTTATGGGAATAACAGCTCTGAGTCCCTCTGTGAAGAAGTTGGGTTCGATATTGTGACGCCTGATCGGCCACCCGTCTATGAGGGATGCCGGGACACGTTTGGGTCTCCTATTCCACTCATCTTCAAATGTCGCGAGGACGGATATTGCCTGGACCCATTTCTGTTCGATAGAGTCTCTCTGTTCTTTCGTACCATGGCTCCCAGAAAGGTCTGACGTCAAGTACCTAGTCTCGAGGTTTCCATCTGCATTCGTATATTCGATGCGATAGGCTATTCTGAACGTCTCCAAGAAGTTACCGTATAGGCCGACGCCGTCAAATTTCTCGTATGAACAAGGATGGCAAGGATTCGTCGAAGGACGTGCAATCTCGACTGCAGGAATTTCGTAGTCGCCATCCTTGACTTTCCATTCGCCGCCATGATTCTTCCTCAAAGGAAGGCGGAGGCGCTGAATATTTTCCTTCGCGTCTTTTACGTTTTTTTGGCATTCGGTGTGGAAACAAGGTGACGGAGAGTCTATTGGGGTCGTTGATATCACCATTGTCGTCAACTCTGCACGGCGGTCCCTTATAGAGCCAGCAAGATGTATCATCCCCATGACGAATTCTTTCGGGCCCCGTCCAAAGGCCATTTGCAGCACAATACAGCTCCAAGATTGGGCTGTTCCAATTAAGGCCACTCTCAAGGCCACTCTCCGAGCCAGGACTAGCTAAGAAGCTGGGTCTCGCGAATGAAGAAAATGCGTCAGATGCCGTAATCAAGGCAGCGATTCCTGTACATATACTAGCGACCTGACCGGGCAAACAGGTGGCCGGGTTACTGAAGCCCTCCCAAGACATGTCTCGCATGCCTGGATGGTAGGCATCGTATAGAGAAATCATTGCCTATTCTGCCCAAGTATGCCATGATAGGCCGTCAGAGGGGTCAGGCTTCTCCATCTTGGCGATGGGATAGATAGCCCACTTTCCTTTGTGGCTCTTGAGGAAGTTCTTCATATACTCGTAACGAATGACGGAACGACGGGATGGCATTGTGGACTCGATCTTCTGCCGTTGGCTGTTGACGTATTCAGTTCCCTTCGTGCTCATCTTCCAGAAGCAATGGGCTCTGAAATTTTCCGAGGAAGAGTCGTCCTTCCCGTGGTAGACAGTGATGTAGAGTACGTGCTCGTTGTCTAAGTTGTTTCTCTCCTCAGCAGGGAGTCTATCGACCTCGGTAGCCCTCGATATGATTTCCTTGAGGCTGGGCATTCCACCTCGAAACAAATCAAGAGTTCCCATCTTCTCGAAACCTAGCGTTACTCTCAACATCTCATGTTCTCGTCACAAGTTCCTTCGTTCACTGACCTTGAACCATTTTCCCCGCGATGCTCGTGATTTTCTTTGGCTGTTTCAACATTTCAAGCTGACGGAGACTCACCCCGGCAAGATCTAGATCATCATTACGAATTTTACACGACTCGAAGAATGTGACGAGAAGGCGTTCAAACGGTATTTCGATACTTTCATCGGCCTTTGCGACCGGAGTCGGCTTATCAACTTCCGTAAGAGAACCTGGCGCCGGGAGAGTGACCATTTCGAGGATCTCCTCAGAAACGATGGCAAAGTCCTTGAACTTTTTGGTGCTGCAATAAAGTCCCCAGCGAGTGTCCTCCTGACCGTAAACCTCAAACTTTAGATATCGGTCTTCTATCTTTTCGGTAGGGTTCCGAATGATTCCGGCAGTGCCCTCATCCAGAATCAGGTGGTTGCCTTTCTTCCCGAGAAGTGACGCATGGTCACTTGGGTTCCATAATTTACTGATTCTGGCTCTAACAGGGGTCTTGGGCAACGACATGGTGAAGCTTCCGGCAAGGAAGTAAGTTCAGAGTCAAGCGCGGAAACAAAGCGACGAATGGCTCTTGTAAAAGTGTTTCGTTGACGGATTGGGGGCAAGTAAAGCGTATTGGTTCAGAAAGGATAGTAGGGCAAAGGGTGAACACGTCTGGTAGAGTATATCGTGGACAGGTTACGCATAGTCGATACGCGCAAGATCGCCTTTAATTATATGACTTGAGTAGTCGCCTTAGCTTGCCTCCGTAAGTTCTCCTGCGGATTCAGACTTGCGCTTCTTCGTCAACTGTGAAGCTCTTTGTACGTGAACAGTGCCTTTACCGCCCGGTGATTCTGCTGAAAGGGAAACGCAGCTTCGGCTTACGTAGATCTTTTCAGGGTTCGAACAATCTTTCCTAAACATTTTTATGTCACGTAGATTTTCTATCCATGTCGCAATGCCTGAAACAATGATTGCCATATTATGCTGATTTCCTTGTAAGGTATCTTGGTGGTAAGTATCATCCACTTACCGCCACCCCAAAATGCCCTCTTTGTGAGCAGGGAACACTCGAAATCATCGTAACTTTGCTTCGATCCTTCCCGCAGCCGTTCAATGCCCAAGGACCGAGTGAAAGACTTCCTGTAAACTTGCCACAGTCAAGTGACTGATGGAAAGGGAGGGGCCTGCTGACCTGGCCGATTCTTTAGTGATAAGAGAGAGGATGCGAACAGGCATTCCAGAGCCGAGGTGAATATCGCTTGTTACACGTATTGGACATAAAGCATTCAGAAAAGAAGCGCAAGTGACAATTGATGTTCAAATGAAGGTACCGATCACGGCTGAGCCAATGAAAAGTTTGTGATCAAAGGATAGGCTACCTAGGAGCCTTCCAACGTCTCCGACAACCAACATGTAAATTATACTGAATCCATCAAATATTGAGTGCTTTTATGGCTGGTCAATACGGTGATGAGAAACCTAAAATAAGCCTATCTACTCTATGATAAAAAGTAGCCAATGGAAGATGCGACCATGCGGCGATGAAAATTGATCCTACGTGTTTTCCTGTCCTTCAGAATAGATCGATCATGATAGCTGTACATAGAGTGTGCAAGTGTGTTCATTGCCAAATCGAGACGATGGCCAGACCAAGAGGAGACCGTCTTAGCTGCGAGTCAAGCAGACAGCATGACGAGGTGCCACATAGACACGCCAATAAATGATAGGAACCGTGTGACATGACCAGCATTGGAATGGCTGAGGTGGACAAATGCAAAGCATTGGTTTGTCGCTGTTTGTCAACACTTGGAACATGGTTATACTAAGAAACGTGGACAATGAGGCTGTTCGTGATGCTAGCCAGACGCAGCCGGGGACTGTATGACTACGACCGACCACCTCATTGAAGGACTGTGACGTAACAGTGGTTGACTCTCTACTCTACAGACATAATGACACAATGGCAAGGCACTATCTGTAGACGATGTCGATGAGAATTAAACGTAAGCAAATCATCGTTGTTTACTGCAGCCTATTCACATATCGCCGGTCATACATGTGGACGTCGTAAGGGTAGGCAGCGCAAGATATTAACACCTTCAAGGCGGCATTCAAACAGTGAGACATACTTTACAATCCCAATCTGAACTATCAGACTAAAACGCCTCTAGGCCAGCCGGCCTGCCAAACCAAGTCCCTAATTCATCACCATCTTCTTCCCTGTTCCCCGACGCAAAGAAGTCTGTCATCCGCGCGGTATCGCCGTCATCTTCGACCGGCCATTCCACCTTTGGGTTTCCCTTGGCCTCGAGCATGTCCTTGGCCGTGCCCCAGCTGAATCGGCATTCCGGACCCCATCCAAACACCGGGTGCATGTTAGATCTCATCCATGAAACACACCGTCCATCTGATGGATATCCTGAACCCCAAGCCATGGCCTCCTCTCCCTCTGCCGCAGCTTCAGGGGCTCGCCCCTTGTAGAGAACCTCAAGCGCAACATCACGGGTAACCTTTGCGCATACAGAAGCGGCCGATACACAGGGGTAGAGACTGTCTGCCTTCTTCGCGACTGTAATCTTTGTTGCGGGAAAGAAGCGCTGGAGCTTGGCTTGGTAGGCGGCGGGCTGACCGACGGTATCGACGTAAATCTCCTGGATGTTGACGCCCTGCGCAAAGACGCCCTTGATCAAGTCAACGGTGGCGTCCATGGCCTGGGCGTTGAGGTTGTAGTTGGCTCCCGGGCGCATCATGCCTGATGAGATGTCGCGGGCACTGAGTGCTGAGATGGCGAAGCCGCAAGTCTCGGCCAGGTCGGAGCCCGGCGTACACAGAGCCGTCATGAGTTGTGAGCGGACGGCCGGTGTGAGCACTTTGGAGTCGTCAAAGTGATGGGTCTCACGGAGTAAGGGGTCCGAGAGGGGAATGGGTAGGTAAAAGACACCATACACCATGGGTCCCAAGACCGGTCCGCGGCCGGCTTCATCGACACCTAAGCAGACTGGAGTGCCGGACGCTGCCGGTGAATCTGATTCGTCAGGTGTGCTGGTTTTTGTCGATGAGGCTGGTGGGAGAAGTGTTGAGGGAACTGGGGAGAAGTATGTGTATGAGTCGCCCGAGAGAATGGCCTTTTCGTTGATAGAAGGGGGAACAAAGGCACCCGGGGCTGGAGTCTCGAGAGCGATATCCTCGACCATTGGAGAGTCTTCCATTGTGACTGGTGAACTGGAGACGAGTTGAGAGCAATCTGGATTCGCCCTAGGTATCGCTTCTAAGGTAAAAGAGCAGTGTCGTATGAACGGTATGTTGTCGTATGGGTATATTTTGAGAATTAAGTGCAACACGTCTTTTCCAAACTCCGAGCTGAATACCAAAATAGTTGAGACTGTGAAGACCAAGGTCAGTTGTTCACTCAAAGTGACTTGAACTTAGGACCGGGAAATCTTGTTGGCTAGCCCCTCGACGCGTCTAGATTAATGGGGACGCGTTGAGCAGGGGCGCCAAGTCCACAAGTACCTGCCCCTGTCAACCCCGATTTGCAGCAGGCCCCGGCCACTGAAAGTCCATCGACACAGGTGTGTCCAGCGCGCGTCGTCAATTTACTTGCCAACCAAAAAGTTGCGCGCGGTCAACCTCCCCAACAACACCTCACCCCAAGATAAACACGGCCACGATCTGGTCCACAACGTCCCTTCATTCTCACCCGAGTCACTCGTGCTGAAGACCCAGATCGGGATGCTCCATCTCGAATTTTAATCAAATTTCTCGAACCGGACCATTTCACAACTACACATTCGCAATGGCACCGCCGCGACAGAGCAACGTCCGTCGCCGCGAGACCTCCACAGGCGATTTCCATGAGCTTGGTGTGAAAGGACGGTGCGTCGCGCACTCCTTCTCTCGGGCTGGCGTGGATCGCAAGCTCGAATTTGTATATGGACTTGTTAGACTGACATCCCAACAGCAAGACTGGCATTGAATTGCCCGACACGGGCGTACGCGACGAACATGGCATGCAACCCATCGACGGCCTTTTCTCCTCACCGGAGAAGGACAATGGATCCGCCAGCGACGATGGAGAACAGGACATGGAGCTGGAGTCGGGTAAGCCCTACTGAGATCATGCAACATCGCTGGCTTTCTGACGAAGCTCCGTATTAGAATCCGGTCCCGGGCCTTCCACCATTATGAAGAACCACCCTCGGCTCGTTCCCCGAGGGACCTCCCCGCGCAAGACAAACCTCGGATCACCTGCGATGCGCCACCCGAGCTTCGGCCCTTCCTCGTCACCGACACGGCTGTCACCCCAGCGGAGATCATCGTCGCCGATAGAACCTCAGCCAACTCGTGGAGCTCCAGTTTCACGCAAACTTGACTACGGCGCCCTGGAGAAAAACGGACCCGGGTTGAACGGTAAACGTCCCAACGGATTCAAGAGTGGACGCGCAGTCTCTTCCGAAGACGAAGAAGAAGAGGAGGCTGTGCTACAGGCGCAAAATGGCCATGTCGAAAACGGGGAGGAGGAGTCGATGCAAATGGTCAGCATGGACGACGGTCAAGTACCAGAACCCGAATCTGAGCCAGCAGCATCGGAAACAGAGGAAATTTCAGAAGCGGAGGCTCCGAAGCAGCCTACCAAGCGCAAAGGCCGTCCACCAAAGGCGAAGCCAGCTATCCAGGAAGAGGCAGAGGAACAGTCAAACCGTGAGTCCGAACCAGAAGAAGCGCCTGTTAAGAGGAGAGGCAGGCCAGCCAAGGGCAAGGGCAAGGAGAAGACCCAGTCAGACGAACCTGAGCCTGAGGCGGAAGAGGTCAGCGCGCCCAAACGACGACGCTCGCGTAATTCCGACGGAGACAAGGCGGAGCAAGAAGAGGAAGACGATCGCGCATCCAAACGACAGCGGAAAGAACCAAAGAAGGCAACGGGCGGAGCAAGGGGGCGGCCGAAAGCTGCGCCCCAGGAGGAAGAGGGGGAATCATCGAAGCAGACGGCCAAGGCCGCCTCAAAAGCCAAACCAGGACCCAAAGGCAGGCCAGGACGCAAGCCGCAAGCCGCAGCGGGCGAGGACTCGATTCTGGGCGTGGTGCAAAAGGGGCCGCCCATGCCTAAAGCGCGCGGTCTGGTATCGCAAAAGCAGAAGCAGGACCCCCATTCCATCACCCACACGAGATCCGGTCGCCAGTCCTACAAGCCTTTGGCGTTCTGGAAGAACGAGCACGTCACCTACGACGAGGACGAGGCTTTCGAAGATGGAAAGAAGGGCAACAGATTTCTCCTGCCGAGCGTCAAGGAGGTCGTCCGCGTGGAGGAAGAGGAGCGGGAGGCTGCGAGGAAGGGCAGGCCAAGAGGCCGCAGGCCTACTGCCAAGGCAGGCAGACGGCGACAGCAGGTCGAATCCGAGGACGAGGAGCCGGCGGAACCATGGGAGCAGGACCCGGGCAGCGTCGACGGCGAAATTGTGGTCTGGCAGCCGGAGCACGAGTTCAACCCGCCCGCTATCAACGAGCAGGTCGAGATCGACGAGGAGCGGATCGCCGTCGCCGCGGGCGCCATCCAGACGAGGGACATTCGGGACGCGACGTTTCGCTTCGCAAAGACCCTCAGCTTGCCGTTCTTCGGCTCGGGCGTCGTCGACCTCCCGCCCGGCGCAGAAAAGCGGCCGAAAAACTCGCGTAAGATGCAGATGGTGTTTTTCGTCTTCCAAGGCAAGGTCTTGGTTACGGTACACGAGTCCCAGTTTAGAATAAGCGCCGGTGGCATGTGGTTTGTGCCAAGAGGTAAGCCGTTCCTGTCTGCGTCTTGAGTATGAACGATTTACTGACTGTCGTGCAGGGAACTATTACAGTATCCACAACGACTACGAAAACCCAGCTCGCATCTTCTTTGCTCAGGGTTGCGAGATGAGCAATGCGGGGGCCAATTTCTCCCAGGATACGACTATAGGCTGAAAGTCGATTTGTGGATGATAGAGACGGCGGATCTACATCGGCTCGTCTGTTAGGTTTCTTCTAGTTGTTTGGCTGTCGGCAGTGTGTTTTGCGAGATATCCCGTCTTCTCTTTCTCCCTCTGAAAAGTGGCTCAAGAGGTAGCCCGTTTGGATTCGGTTTCGAGCTGTTGGATGAGGGTTTCCCTTTTGGGTCCAAGAACAGGACTTTCTTAAACCGAGGGGAGAGCTTGCGCCGTGGTCCGGGATGAGCGAGTTGGAGGACCATCATGAGGAGTAGCGGCTGTTTTTTTGTGTTTTTGAAGGGAGGTTTATAATTGCATCAATCAATATCCACGAAGTCGCGTTTCTTGAGTATTGGATCCCGTTTTCTGTGATGAGCTTGCCATTGCAACAGTGTACTTTGTGAATGGACTTGGTGATGTATAGCAAACATGTGAAACCAGAAGCCGTGGATGCGCAGGTTACCTCGTTTCATCATCTTGTGTCAAATCCTTTCATATGAAAATCAAGGCTGACGATATCGTGCGAGCAAAGTCATGGGCTTACACGGGTATCACATGGCACTTCATCAAAATTGAAAAACGTATCTTATAGACATTATATCCTTTGCCTCCCTATTCATAAAACCCCTTCTTCCCTCGCTCTATCGGGCGTCTGGAACGCAGCCTCATTTTCAGCTGTTCACAACTAACTACCTTAACCTAAACACACAAACACGCGCGCGCGCACGAGGGAGACAAAAGTCTAAATGTCATCAATATCATCCTCAGCGCTCTTCTTCTTGCCCCGGCTGTCGAGCGTGTCCATGCTGATGGAATCGCTATCGCGTGCGGGCATGGCGAGCGCCTGCCGCGCCGTGTCCGAGTTCTCAATGAACTCGCGCAGCTTCGCCTTGCCAATTTCGACACCCTGGTTGGCGGCCGCGTTGGCCATCTGGTACATGGGCCCGAGCATGTTGAGCGTATACGCGACGTAGGTACCTCCGGCGAGCATGATGAGGAAGACGAAGAGGAACGGGTTGCGCAGGACTGTCGTAAGTTAGTATTCGGTTCAACACACATCATAATAAAGAGACACAACTCACCAGCAACGATCTCGTTCCATCCAAGAGCCACCAGCAGAGCATAGAAGTACAGGGGTACTTGTGCGACACCGCCAATGGCACTACGCTTGGCCTCGACGTAGACACCGTCCGCGGTCTTCTTGAACCGGATGACGAGGTCTTGACGCTTGCTCTCGCTGAGAACAGTCATCTCCTCCTCGAGGCTCTTGCCATCCTCCTCATCGACACCGCCAATCGGTGTCAAGTCTTCCTCGTCGCTGGGCTCAACTCCACGGGGTTGATTTCCAATCCAGGCAGGCAACTCAGGAGGTCCGTAGCTTTCCGAAAGCTTGAACTTTGATAACAATGGGATGAGCGTCAGCGTCGACTCTCTTGCCTTGGTGTAGATGCCCTCGATGTCGTCTGTAGGTCTCCAGATTCTTGGTACGCCAGCCTCGTCGTATCTGAACTTGTCCTCAAAGTTTTCTCTCAGCTTCAACAGAATGTTGCCCTCCATGACCTCTTCCTCAATCTTCTCGCGCAGGGCGACCCAACTCTTGCGCCTGAGGCGCCAGAGACCAACTTCGACCTCATCCTGGGTAGCTTCGAAGCTCTTGGCACGGTCGGTGAACCTGCCCTGTGCGTCCTTGACGATATCGACAAACACGGTCCAGATACGATCCCAAAGATCCTTCTCCGCAGGCTTCTCACCAGTCTCGGGGGCGCCGGATCCAGCTCTACCGGAGCCGAGCTTGTTGAATTCGAGGCCAATCGCATCGCCCAAGCGGGACTTGACCCATCGCTCCACCCTCGTGGCCAACCGGCGCATCTCTTCCTTGCGCAGCTTACCGCTCACGTCGTCCAACTCCTTCTCAAACAACACATACTGTGACTTGAAGTTGGACCAAGCGACGCCAGGGATGGCGAGGCTCTCAGCTTCGGTCTTGAAGAACTCGAGCGTCTTCTTCTTCTCCTCGGTAACGATCTCAGCAAATTCGTAGGCCGCGCCGGACTTTTGGCCAGCCTTGACAGCACCCGAAACGTGCTCACTGAAGGAAGCAATGGCGGCCTTGTGAGCGGCGGACAACTGTGCGTTGTAAAGCGTCTTGAGGCGGCCGTCGATCTTAGCTTCCAAGTCTTGGCGCTTGCGCGAGTAAACACCCTTGTGATACCTGCTGGCCTGAATCTCGAATGCCTTGAGACACTTCTCACGAGATTCGCGTCCCGTCACACCCAGATCGGCCAGTACCGCGGGCTTACCGGCTCTGGCAGATTCGGACTGCTTCTCCTCGAGCGGTACAACGGCAGTATCGAAACCAATCAGGACCTCCCTCGAGATCTCATCGCAACGGAATTGCGCAAGCAGCTCTTGCTGTGTCGGCAAGTCCAGGTCCTTGTTGTTGACAATCTGATCCCAGATGCCCTCAGCGTAGAGCGAAAAGCCGTCGGCGGGAATGCGTCGGTGGTACTCGGGGAGGAACACACCGCCATCGAACTCCTGAGTGCTGGCCCCACTCGTGCGGTGCCCCGCAGTGAACCTCCTCCCCAGGTTCTGGATCTCAGTAGTGAACTTATCAGCCTGCAAGATCTTGTGGGGGAGGGCGGCAAAGGCGAAGTCGAAGTAGTCCTCGATGCGCGAATTTTCGAGGCCCTGCGGCTTGGAAATGGAAGACCAGATCTTAGTCAGGTCCTGGACCAGGGTGTTGCGCAGGTTCGCAAGGGGCGTCGTGCCAAGGTGGTCTCGGATTACGAAGAAGAGGAGTGATCTCAAGCTCGACCTGTGTAGGCTGTTAGCGAGCGGCGGGGTTGCCCACGCACAGGGCGACTTACTGCTTGTCTTTGAGGAAGAGCTGTAGGTTGACCTCAAAGACGGTTTTGAGTAGGCCCATGTTGGCACCATTGTACAGGCCGACCTGTGTCTCCCAGAGGTTGACGATCAAGACTTCGCTAGTTGCCAGTGCGAACAGAGCGCTCTTTCTCTCGAAATCCTGGTCTTCGCCACGCTCGCGTCCATCAGTCCCCTCAACATCCATAACGATGATGTTCTCGGCCATGCCGGATTCCTTCTTGTTCTTGGACATCCATATTCCCTTGGTAGTCTGCTGGCGCATCGTCTCGGACATGACGGAGAAGTCGGTACCAAAGAGGTTGTTCAGCAGCGTCGACTTGCCGGTGGATTGGGAGCCGAAGACGGAGATGAGGTGGTAGTTGAACCCCGCCTCGGCGACGCGCACTTTTTGCAAATATGTTGCGACATGGGAGCTGTACAGAAGTCAGTTAGCCGCTGATCATCGTCGGTTCGTTGAGGCGGGGGAGATTGTATCGTACTTGAAGTCCTTCTGATCGTCAATGACCTGGATGCCATGCTCGTAGTTCTGGGCATCCGGCTCTTCGCCGACAGCAGCAAAGTGGCCGTTCATGGTTGCAGCGACGAGTGAAGCAAATAATGTGGAGGGGCAAGTCTCGTAGGGTTTATTCGGTCATTGTCGTTTTCCAGAAATAGGTAAGGAAGAAGAGGAAGAAAAGGAACGGGAGAGCAAGCCAAACGTTGTTCGGGTGCAATGTAGCAACAGGGGCGAAAGTAGAGTGCAGTGCGTACTAATGGGAGTTGGCAGCTGGGAGAGGAAGTGACCACATCGACCCTTGTGATCAAATTCCCCTGTCATGGGCCGTTAATCTTGCCTTTCCCACCTGGCTTTACTGCCCTCCACTGTGGGAAAGTGTGCAGTTGCGCCGGATGAATGGTTGGTCCGTGCTGTTTCCCTCCCCCAAGTTCCCAACGAGTGGCCAGTCACCCAGTGATTGGAGGCTCGGTCTCAGGGCAACCCCTGGCATGTGAATCCTGGTATCTCTCCAAAATCCCCTCGAAAACATCAGACGACGTGACCACGACATGTGAGGTATCTCCGTCGAATAGCGGACCAGTCATGGTGAATTGTATGGGTAATGAGATACGATGTGAGGCTCCTGACTACAATTTTCCTTCAACGGAGACGTCTGTGTCCATCCAGTGCTGCCGTCCCTGAAACTAAGAGCTGTCAGTCATTTCGGTTGGCCGCTAATACAAAGTTCATGGTTCCCACCGGCGCGGGCCGGCTTTAATGTGGAATTCCTCAAGCACAAACCAATCTTCCCAACGTCATGGTAATACTGGTAAACTTCAATTGTTTCAGCCATACTTTGAAATCAGCTTCTTCATGATCCCCATGGCGCCTCCGCGGTATCCTCCACCAAATAACGCATAGTGGTTGAGGTGGTGATATCTGCGACACCTACAAGTTAGCGGGGCAAATCACCATGGCAACCCCCCCTTCAAGCAAGTGGGCGAAAGCTCGAAGCGACGCGAGGGAGTGGACTTACAACTCGTAAAGTGCAACTCGATCATCCCACTCTTCAACTGGCTCCGCCTTCGACACCAGTTCATTATATTCGTTCCAGAAACTACTCCCAAAGCCGCCAAACATCTTCATGATGCCCAGTTCGTACTCGGCATGCCCATACACGGCCGACGAATCGTAGACAACCTCCTCCGCGCCGCCCTTACCCGCAATCTGGCCACGGCCGTGGTTTCCGCTCCATAGATCCCCGTGGATCACCACCGGCTTGATCCCCTTGATGCGGTCCTCGCCGATCAACCGCGGAACAACCCGGCTCGCAACGGTCTCCACGACCTCCGACAACTCTCCGTCTGCGCCGTTCCTCCTGATCCCTGCGCGCAAAACGCCGCGCAGCCGGTTCTCGGCATAGAACTCGGCCCACGTCTCCTTCCACGCGTTCTCCTGTGGCGTCGAGCCGCAGCATGTGCTCACAGGAAAGCCGTACATGGGCCTGTCGAATCCCTTCGGGACGGGCGCCGGGGTCGTGTGCATCTTGGCGAGCTTCGCGGCCAGCGACATGCCCGATCCGCCCGGGGCCGAGGATCCCAGATCCAAGAAATCTGTGACGAGGAAGTATGTGCCCGGGGATGATTGGTATCGCCCGTGGGCGTGCGACTTTGGGCAGAAATTCGGCACGGCGTTGTGGATTGCGTTTAGCGATTCATGTTCGCCTGCGGGAAGTGTCAATGCTCCTGCTTCTAAGACAGCTTTGGATGCCAAATCAAGTGCAGATGTGTTTCTTCACCAGATTGCTCTGCACTCCAGCCAGGTTTCACCGACCTCTAAACATGACTTCGGCGTCTTTCCCAGAGCCCGTCTTGACGAAGAAGTTGGTGGGCTGACCATCGATGACAGAGGTGAGTTTGAAAGATGATGCGAATCCGGAGCCGCCATGAGACGCGATTTTGGTCTGTTCAGGATCAAGCTGGAGGGCTTCGAGGATGGCTGGATCTACATGTGGTGCCATTCTTCGAGATGTGTGGGATGGACTCGATCGAGTCTGGTTTGACAGGCTGGTAGTTTGTGTGATTCAAAGTTGAGCTCTGGAGCTCACCTCAGTTACATGCCACCAGCTCAGACCGTTGGGGTGAGCTCTTAGTGACGTAGAATAGCAACGGCCTCCACAGTGACTGTACCGCCCCAAGCTGCATGCCTTTCAGCCCCACAGAGACCCATTCTGTTTGTCATTTGCAGCCACCGTGTCCTCTCACCCGACTTGAACACTGCTCTGGCAGTTCTGCTCACATTCAATAACCACTTGGATCGATAGCTCAGTGGTAGAGCGAGAGATTGCAGTTAAACGCAGTTTATCTCTAGGCCCCGCGTTCGAATCGCGGTCGGTCCTTGTCTTTTGCTGTTTGCACTCCCAGTGCTGTGTTTGCCGCTCAGAAGCGTTCTATATTTTTGTTTTGTTGACTATCTTTGTTGGAGATCGCCTTAAGGTGCTGCTGTTGTCACTCTTTAAAGCTATTGCGTGCTGTTTTCAAAGCTTGTTGCTCCAAAAATACCTGATTCGGCTCCCGGTGCAATGGTGGGGTTAGGTTCCCGACCGATCAAAAATAACGGGGCCGTGATGGGGCCGTAGATGCTCCGCCAAAGCTTCGAATGATTCTTCGAGACAGTAGGAGGAGCAGAGAAATGACAGAAACCTGGAAGCTATCTGAAAGATGAGATAAATCATACTGGAAACCCGGGTACCGAAGTCTTTGGTGTAATGTTTATTGAACTAGCAAAATGAACCCCATAGCATCCTCCAGTGTTCGTGTAGAAAGTAACGCCCTCCGCAATGTACCAACACCAAAACACCCTTCTCTATCTCATGGTATCTATCGCCTTGACACAACATCCAAGTCACGGCTTCCCAACCAAGCGAACCTCATTTGGCTGATTCTCCGTCCCGCCTGACTGGCTGACATGCGGGAGCCAAAACCCCCCGGCATACCATACCTGGTCAGGCCTGCCATTACCCCAACTCTCCAAGCCCACCTCAAGCCAAAAGCGAGATAGCTAGCACGCCAACCACCAGCGGCACGGCACCACACCACAGGGCCAAGACCCAAGAGCATGTTTCTGTTTACCCCATCCTATCACTTCCCCAGGATTGAGATCTCACCAGCCCAACGGGACCAGTCCACCACCCCCGCTAACACAAAGCTAGGGGGTGGACGCCCGCCGGCGTCGCTCCCAGTTCGTCCAACGACTGCGACCCAAGGACCCCTTATCTGGCATCTCAAACCCTAAATCTGGTGCTCTGGACCGTCGCTTGTGCAGCTTGCGAGAACAACGACGCTCTTGACGATAGTAAGCGTCTTGGCGTCCGGGGGCAGGATTGAGGGGCTGTGATCCAACCTGCCTGAATGAAAGGACGGCCGGCCCTGCTCGAGCGACACAGGGCAAGTAAAGAGGAATTGTCGGAAAGAATGGTCCAGACTTCCCCAACGCCAAGATGCCACTTCCCGGGGTGAATGTAGCCCAGATGTAGTCAGCTTTCCTCGCGTTCTTGTCATTCGCTTTCCCCTCCATCCCTCATCACCCCCTTCCCTCTCCCTTCTCTACCCTCTTAGACGATTTCCTTTCCCAGAGCTAGGCGGTGAACGTCGGTGACAGAGGCGCGGTCTGAACTGGCGTTGCTATCTTGGGAGTAGACGCTGAGGTTTGTCGTCGACGAAGTCTCTTCGCGGCGGAGCGGTGTCAGGTCTGATTCTGACTCTCGTCGCAGAGCCATCGTCCGTGTCTCTTTTGCTGCTGCTTGGCTCGGGATGGACGCGTACTTTGGCGCCGTGGTCTGTGGAACGGTCGTCTTCCAGTGCTCGCCGTTGCCGTTCCAGCAGGCGGAACATGGACACTGGGGAGTTCGGTTGATGGCTGGCGGCGGGGTGCAGTGGCGCTTCCACCAGCTGAGAGGCTTTTGTTCGGAAGGCATTGCGATGTTGGTGTTTGTTGGAGCTTGAGAGATGAAGTAGAAGGAAGGGATCAAGGGACCAGTGAACCAAGTCCAGAGGGTCTATGTGTATGCGTGTGTATGAGGGTATAAGTAGAGATCGACTGGACTTGGTAAAGGTCAAACGGTGACCCCCTTGACAAGAAAGCGTAGAGACTCTGGAACGAAGGCGAGGAAACAGAACTGGAGATGGAGACAGGAAAACCGAGACAAGGGGAGGGAGACTTCTCGGGAAAGGGTGGCCCCAGTGAGATTATATACCCACGATGAATGACCTCCGAGACCATGGCCGGCCGAGCCCAGGTCAAAGACGGTCTTGTGGGACCCCTGGATGTAATACCCATGACCTACCTGCATGTGAAGCTGAGCTGAGTGGGCGGCTTGCACACTTGCAAAAGCTCGACGCCCCGGCTGAGGTGTACGAAGAACAATCTCGACTGGGCGCTTGCCTAAGTAGCTAGCACCGGGCTGACTGCCGCCGCCGGCGCACTCCAAAGTGCGATGCCATGTGCGTCTCGCTTCCTTGGAACCGCTATCAATAAGACTGCAGTCGTTGCTCGGTCTCGTGTCCAAGGCTCACTCGAGTCCAGGAAGACTAGCAAAATCTCGAAGAAGACGGCGTTGTGAAAAGTTGAGAGGAAAGGAGAAAAAAATGGTCTAGGTACAAGTTAGTCGCGAGATTTGTGAGGTTCAAAGGGGGTACGTACTGGTTGGGTTAGTCACATTCGCGGTTTCGCCAATCGCCTCCAACGTCTTCTCACCTCACCTTGAAGTTGGCTCGGGACTGGTTCGGAGAGTCTTCGCAATGTCAGAGCCCGCTTTTCCTTGTTGTTCCTACGGCCAACATACGATGTGGAGCCTATTCCATCATGGAATCAACAGTTTTTTTTCCTCATCTTTCTATTACCGGGTGTGCGATAAGACCTGAGCGGTGCCCTACTTGAAACTGTTTCGCTGGCTTCGTCGTTGCGAGGTTGCGGTTGTGGCTGCGACGTCGTCAACGGTTTCGCGACTGCGACTGCGACCGCGAGCTGTGTAAGGCGCCGATCATCCGGCCGATCAGCAAACGGTAGCTAGCGGACACGTTCAGCCTGGTGTCTCTGCTCGGAAACCGAAAAAAAAAATGAGAAGGATATTTGGTCTCCAGAAGTTTTGGAGGTGTCTTCGTGAGGGAGAAAACCCGGGAATAAGTGGCGAGAAGAAATGGCGAGTATCTCCATCATCCGCAACACCAAAGTCCAGACCCCGTCGAGGAATCATCCCGAACAAAAAACCAAAATTCGCGTCATCGACCCTGGTCAGTGTCAATAGATATGGGCAAGGTTCGGGAAGTGTCCGCCGGGAGTGCCTTTCGCTAGCATGCAAGCTAAGAACATTCAAGAAACGGGAGAGATGCATGGGAACGCTATTCCCGTAGCAAGGGTATTGTAAGGTCAAACGGTCACGACGACTGGGATCTCGAGAGGAATTCAAGAGAGTTAACCGCGGGCAGGGAAACGACATGTCTGTTGAGCCTCACGGTGGATCCCCTTCCCTTCCGCTCGATGGTTGTTGTGGACGCCCCTTCATCCGAGAATCGCAATAGCCGAAGGGGTATCCATTTTGTGCCGACAGATGCTGTGGCTGGAGGGATCTCGGAGATGGGTCCTGGGATTTGCGGAGTGGAATGGCCTGATCACTACGTCCGGCGTCGCATCGGAGTCAATTTGATGATATAGGTTCTTCCGGCCCGACACTTGTGACTGTTGATGTCTTTCTTGATCTGCTCTTCTTTGCCAATTACCATTTTGGTCCGTCTTTCCTTTAAAGAAATCGGATTTTAACCAGTTACTAAACGACTTCGAAGCAACAAGTGTTGCTGAGACAAAGTGAAAGTCATATCAGATCAAAGACAGGGGTCTTCCCAAATTCGCAACTAGGCTTGCTAAGACAGCTCCTTTATCGCTTCTTTCATTCTAGTACCTAACATGCAGCAGAATCATCAGGCATGTTCTTACTCCTTGAGGTTCGCGTCTCTTCTAGTCTGAGTACTAAAATTGCATTATGATGTGTGAGTCTTTTACCAGCACCTGCTTACCCAAGGACCTTTGCTGAACTCAGAGCAGCCTAGGGTTATTGAGGCTTCTACCGGATTCAATGGCTGTCATGCCTGGACACGCAAAGAACTGCCGTCTTTGAGAACGGGACGTCTATAGTCTCGCCTCGCCCTTCACTATTAAGCCGTCAAGGCATTAAGATGGGTTGACTTCCACATCACAGCCCATCGTCAACCCAGCTTAACGACATGAACCCTGACGGTCAACTCTAGTAAAATCCTATGCTGGGAATGACGAAACTCAAACCAGATGGATGTGTGTCAGCGGCCTTCGTATTGCCCGGCACGAAGCAACTGGAGCCATACAAATGCGCGAAACACTACTTGGAATACTTCAACAACACTACCACAGAACCCCTTCTGCCGGCTACCGGAATTCGAGAACGATGCGTCCGATGAGCAGTACGTTGAGGAATACTACTCGTACCAGCTCTCCTGCTATGTCCAGCCCTCCGCAATAACGCCTACGGATGACGACGACAAGAGCACGGCAGCCACCGCTTCCCACCAAGAAGGAAAACCCTCATCGCGTCTTTGGCTGCGCAGAATATTGCAATTTGCCGGCAGCCTGCTATCAAATGCCAAGGAGATCATTCGAGCTGCGAGATCGACTACCGCGAGGGGGCTGGATCAAGCTCGAGCGGATATCAGCACATGGTGGTTGGCTAGCCGAAGACTGAGGCTGTGGTTGGGACGATTGGGGAAAGCCTTGCCCATGATCATACTGTGCAGAGTCGTGGCTCAGTGGGTATTGGCGCAAGACCGGCCCGTCTACGTCCTGGTCCATGTATGCCAGTCATGGTCAGTCGTAGTCAGTGTTGTACCAGAGCCGATAGCTGGTGTCGAAAATGGCAACATCTAAGGCTCTCCGCCCGACTTCCAGCGCGGCACCTGAGTATTACGTCCACCAACTCAGCGGTCACGCAACAGATATAGTGGATGGATTAAACGTGGTGAAAGGCTGACTCTGGCGCACTGGCGAAGTCATACCGAGATGAGTTCTGTAAGTCACAACCTTTGACAACTTCAACAATGGTCGCTGACTTTGTAGCAGGTTCCAAAACTGCGATCAAGAGAGTTTCACCGTCATAGGTACGACCTCTCGGTTCCGAAATACATATGATGTCGTCAAGATAGCATCTATACCGAATCAGACAAGACGATTGGATAGGTAGGGTTCATCTCGGTTGCCATTATGCCGCAATATGGTTATACGCAATGGCGCTCAAGAAAGGGGTAGGTTGGAGCTGAGCCGAGGGAGTCAAGATTTGTTCTGGTGTATGTGTAAGTTTTTCAACAATTTGAGTACAAATGAACGTGCTGCTTCTGGAGTCGCCTGGCAGCGTGCAGAAAGCTGGATCCTAGCAATGTCTGAAAGTCGAGGTGAAGAAATGACGCCACATGATGAGCCTGCAGATGCAGCTTCCTGCAGCAGTGCAGACACGTGGTTGGTGTTGTGTCTTGACAGGCGCACGGGTTCGGAGCTCGGGCCACTTTCAGCCGCTTTACCGGATGGTCTCCGAGTTCGACCTTGACTTCTCGACGGAGCTATCCCGTGCCTCGGCCAGTGATGGAACACCTAGTGATATGGAGTTATTGTGAAGTCCTAAGAGAAAAATGAAGATATGAGCTAATACATCTGTTATTATCAGGTTCTGCTTTGTACTTCCCTACAATTAGATGTGTAGGGTCACAGAAATATGGCGACGGTTTTGGCGGAGGAAGCAAGCTCCGTTGGCAGCTAAAAGCGGCGGTGGAACCCTGTAGCTCGGCTGAAGCTTTGTTCCGAGCGAAAACCAACTAGAGGACCGGGAATTCCCGCGGCCCAGAAACCTCTGGTTTTCCCGTTTGAGATTGCTGGAGATAGCGCTTTCCTGCAAAACCAATTGCATCACAGCACACTCGAAGGACTCCTCGTCAGTCCTCTTCCTTTTTCCTTCCTACGACTTCGCGCCTTTGCATCCCACCCGTCGGGACCTTCTTGTCAGTCATTTAATTGACAGGCGCGCTTGACGTTTTTTCCCTCTTCCTCCGATCTTCGAAAACCACCCCCCGTCCTTCGCGACACGAACACATAAACCCCCTTCACAATCATGTTCAAGCTCGGACGCAGCCGGTTGGCTTCTGCCATCCAAACTTCCTCAAAGGTCGCCGCTCCCAGATACCCGGGCCTTGCCCAGCAACAAAGGAGAAACCTCAGCATTCACGAGTACCTCTCCGCCGACCTTCTGCGCCAGGTAAACACACCCACCAGAGAATCTGCGATACATGGGGCCCCACTCCTTTTCGGGGGGGCCAGTTTTTCAGGAGCTTCTCAGCCAGCTCAGCGCGATAAAGAACCAAAACCATAGCTAACGTGAGGGTCGCTTTTTCGTTTTTAGTATGGAGTCGGTGTCCCCAAGGGATCCAACGCGAAGACCGCCGCCGAGGCCAAGGCCATCGCAAAGGAGATTGGTGGTGAGGATATGGTCATCAAGGCCCAGGTCCTCGCCGGTGGACGTGGAAAGGGTACCTTCGACAACGGCCTCAAGGGCGGTGTTCGCGTCATCTACTCCCCCACTGAGGCCGAGATGTTCGCCGAGCAGATGATTGGCCACAAGCTCATCACCAAGCAGACCGGCGCCGGCGGCAAGCTCTGCAGCTCCGTCTACATTTGCGAGCGCAAGTTCGCCCGCCGCGAGTTCTACCTCGCCATCCTGATGGACCGCGCCTCCCAGGCCCCCGTCATCGTCTCCTCCTCCCAGGGCGGTATGGACATCGAGACCGTCGCCAAGGAGAACCCCGACGCCATCATCACCACCAACATTGACATCAACAAGGGTGTCACCGACGAGATCGCCCGCGACATCGCCGTTAAGCTCGGCTTCAGCGAGCAGTGCATCGAGGACGCCAAGGACACCATCCAGAAGCTCTACAAGATCTTCCTCGAGAAGGACGCCACCCAGATCGAGATCAACCCCCTCTCCGAGACCTCTGACCACAAGGTCCTCTGCATGGACGCCAAGTTCGGCTTCGACGACAACGCCGACTACCGCCAGAAGGATGTCTTCGCTCTCCGCGACACCACCCAGGAGGACGCCGACGAGGTCCGCGCCGCCGAGTCCGGCCTCAACTTCATCAAGCTCGACGGTGACATTGGCTGCCTCGTCAACGGTGCCGGTCTGGCCATGGCCACCATGGACATCATCAAGCTCAACAAGGGTACCCCCGCCAACTTCCTCGACGTCGGTGGTGGTGCCACCCCCGCCGCCATCAAGGAGGCCTTTGAGCTCATCACGAGCGACCCCAAGGTCTCTGCCATCTTTGTCAACATCTTCGGTGGTATCGTTCGCTGCGATCTCATCGCCAAGGGTCTCATCAACGCCTCCAAGGAGCTCAACCTCAAGATCCCCATCATTGCCCGTCTCCAGGGTACCAACGTCGAGGCCGCCCACGAGATCATCAACAACTCTGGCATGAAGATCTTCTCCATCGACGACCTCCAGACCGCCGCCGAGAAGGCTGTGCAACTGTCCAAGGTTGTCAAGATGGGTAAGTCATAGAATTCCCCATACACTCGTTCTTAAAGCTCAGATGCTAACTGTAATCCTCTAGCCCGTGACATTGATGTCGGCGTCGAGTTCTCCTTGGGTATCTAAAGCTCTAGCGTTGTGTTTAGACTGGCCTCGCCCTGTACATTAATTAACATAGCCCTAGGTTGAAGGAGCTAGCACTGGGAGCCGAAATATCAAACTTGTGTTCAAATGTCACTTGCAAGTTTCCCACAAACGCACGTCGCTCCGTTACCTGTCTTGTTGTGAATGTGAAGCATCCCGCGCTTCGTCAAGTTTTCCATGTCCCACCCGTCCTTCTCAGCTGCATACGATGAACATGTTCATATGGTTACATATGCACAATTTGCTAAGCAGAAAAAAAAGCCCCCACTCCACGTCTGCAGGCGAAGCGTGTCATGTAACCACATCATCCACATCAACGGTTCCCACTTCTCAAGTCCCCAACTCGCTTCTCTCTCTTTGCCTCTCGCTTATGTGTCCCCTTGCTGCATTTTCTCCTTCCTTGCCAGAGTCTCCATGAGACGATGGAGACGCCCTCTTTCCCAACAGCCAGATGACTAAGCCTTTCATCCCGCCTAACCCAGGATCGATAGCTCAGTGGTAGAGCGAGAGATTGCAGCTCCTCAGCAGCAACCTATCTCTAGGCCCCGCGTTCGAATCGCGGTCGGTCCTTGGAATCATAGTCATTCGGCGAACAGTTTCTTTTGCTTTTTGCTTCGGGTCGTTTTTTGCTGGAGGCTTAGTAGTTTGAGTGAAATTTGATGTGCATGAGTGAGTGCGGGCTATGTGCATAGGAACGATGTAATGGTTTGATCCCTTGATTCTATACTTAAAGCCGGTGTCTTCATGACGTGGCACTTATAGAGTTGCGAAATATAAACCTGCCGAAAGGTTCCTGTCATTATTTGGTGATTGCACACTTCCCACGTCTTGAAAATTGAAGTAGCAATACTGTGAAAAATGAACTAATCTGCTGAAAGGGAGGACCGACGTCTGATTCACACCAGCTACGATAATGACTCAACCCTTTCCTGATATGAGACTCCAACACCAAACATCCATATATCCTCATACAATCCTGCTAAAGCCACGAAAGGCCAACAAACCTGGCTCATCGACTAAGTGTCTGGCCCCCCTAAGATTTAATCATAGACCCCATAAACAACCCAAGAGCCGTCAACGCCAACGCAAGCGGCGTCGTCGCATTCTGTATATCCCCCGAAATAACTCCAAACAAGTACAAAAAGCAAAACGCCAAAAATGGCGAGAGGCATAGCAGGATATACACCGACGTCATCAACGCAGACCGTCGTTCTCTGATATACAGACCCCAAAAGTCCTCTTTGCGATTACTCCGCTCGTCAAGGTAGTGGTACCGCTGCGGTATGCAGCCGACGGTATCGTCGCTCAACGCCTCGACGGTATCGTAAAACGGCAGGCCGAGCGATGCCCAGATGACGGCCTCGCGCTTGGCTGTGTAGTGGAAGACGTGGCTGAATTCTTCGGGAGAGACCGGGGGTTCGCGAAGGGCGGGACGCGGGTTGTAGTAGTAGTCCTTTTGGGATATGTTTGGAACTTCGAGGCCGCGGTGGGCGAAGCCGTTGCGGCAGAACTTTTCGAACTGGTGAGAATTTAGTGTGAGTCTTCAGGCTCGCGTGCTATTATGCTAGCCATCTTACGAGGCCGTGATGGGGAAGAGTCTATTGTCTTTGCCTCGCTTTAGGACGAAGGAAAGGATATCACTTACACGCACAAACTCGCAATGGGAGAAGTTGTAAGGCGAAAACCACCACCTCCAGAAGCCTTTGAGCTCGCGATATGCTTTTCGCAATTCTTGTCCAAAATCCGCGGTGTCTAAGTAGAGCGAGGGTAGTTGCCTGAGCCGATGCCGACCCGTAGTCGCGAGCAAAAAGATGTACCTCGGCCGGGGATATTCGCGCTTCTGACCAGTCTGATTATCCTGACTAGGCGAGGACACTGGGTCAGGTAGCTTTGAAGATTCGTTGGCGCTTGGGGCCTTGATGGATCTTGTTCCCAGCGATGAGATCTCGTTGGGGTGTGAAGATGTCGGTGGAGTAACCGATACCGTATTGCTTGATGAGGCTAAATGGTTCTGACCAGTTTGACTCTTCTGATCAATTTGACTCTTTTGACCAGGCGAAGACGTTGGACCCAGCCTAGCTCGTGTTTCTGGAAGAATGGCTCTCATTTGCGCGTGCTCAGTTTCGGGCGTTAGATCGGGTAAATTTGATGATTCGTTGGCGCTGGAGGTCTTGGTGGATCCTATGCCTAGCGATGAGATCTCATTGAGTTTTGGATATGAGGAAACTCCCAGCCAGTAAGCCATTCTCAAGGCTTCTATTTCCTTTTCGGAGTCAAATATTTCCGATTCGAATAGTTTCCATGGGAAGGCGTCTAGGGTCTGAGCATTGACATGTACCATGGGCGGTGGAGTGGGAAATGCTGATGATTCGTTGGCGCTGGAGGTCTTGGTGGAACTTAAGCCTAGCGATGAGGTCTCATTAGGTTTTGAAGATGTTAGCGGAGCGTTGGAGACCATACCATTTGCTACGGCTTTAGAAACCCGGCGGCTTATATCAGCATACTTCTCTAGCGAAATTTTCCTGGACGTTGGATCGGGTGACTTTAATAATTCGTTGGGGGCGGAAGTCTTGATGGATCTCGTTCCCAGCGATGAGGTCTCATCGGTTTTCGAAGACATCGGCGAAGCGTCTGATTGCGGGTTGCTTGCTGAGACTGTATGATCCCGGCTTGCGAGAGGATACTTCTGCAGCAGAATTGCAATGTTACTTGCGAATGACGCTGGCACAATTTCCCATCTTAATATGCCGCACCTCTGAGTGTGTAACGTTAGCAACATGAGTCTCTGTGAGTGACCGACGCATCGAACTTACACAGCGCCATCCAACTCGTGCCTCAGTGCTGCTCAAAGCATGCTTGGGAGGTGGCAGAGGCCACCAATCCCATTCCTCCTTGGTCATAGTTTCCGCCCAGGTTTGGAATACTTCGAGCCTCTTCGGCGTGCTTTCAATGTCCAGCAATAAGTTTTCAGGACTTGACTCTTCCAGCTCCGTCAGGACGACTTGCATCTTATCCTTCATGCCAATCCAATACTGGTCCTCTGATGTATCTTTGCCTTCGAGGACCTTTGCAACAAGCTTCTGGGCCTGGGTGCGGAAGGTTGGTTTGACAAAATCGGACAGTCTCCTCGTCATGTTTTCAAAAGCCCCGCTGGAGAGAACAAAGGCTCTGATGGACTCGAAGTTCAACTCGTTCGCTTGTCCCTCCTTCTCCTCGGGAGCATCATCGCCTTCTCCCTGGCCAAGGTCGTCGTCTTCCTGCTCGAGCTGCGCGAATTCATCTCGATGAGGGTCCTCAGAAAGAGTACCTGGAGCATCCTCTGGCGCTTTGGTTCTCGGCTGGTCGAGGGCAATGGGCTCGAGGCTCTTTTCGGCAATTCTCGAGGTGACCCCTGATGCGATTGCCAGCCGGTAGACACGGAAAAATACTGCGGACAGAGCTTCTTCCTTGGTCATCGCTTCTATCGCCAGTTCCAGGCCGAGGGACCGCAGAATCCGGGTCAGATTCCTTCGCAGCCTGTCAGGTCCTACCCGAGGCGTTTGCATGGCCAATCTGAAGAGCGGATACAAGGCATCATTTTCGGACAAGAATGATATGGCGTTGCCCAAGCCCGATGTGACCGGTGTCGAAGTCGAACCTTCAATCAAAGTGGTTGCTGACGATTGGAAGGATGCCACAGAACTAGTTTCCCACGCAGTATCGTCATCATTACCGAAGTCCCTCTGATTTAGCTTCATGTCGTCGACGGTCACCATAGCGGGAAACATGCTTCCACAGTGACTAAAGGCGCCTGGACTGCTTGCCAAAAAGTCCCGGAGGTGACTTGAGCTGACAAGATCTTTGCACTTATCCCACGTCGTGAACTTCTGGAGCCAATCTTTTCTCCAGGCGAAAAGGGTTGGATCCGAAACGGTCTTCGCAATGTGTTCCTGCAGACGTAAGAATGCACTTACGTTGCCCTCCCCATAGATTGGCATCATATCGACGCCAAATAAACCGGCCAGCGAGTATGCAATATCCTCAAGTCGATACGCATTGCGACTCGTGGCCCAGAACATCTTCCGGGCCACGGATACCTTTGCGAGATCACCACCTTGGAGAATGAAGGTGTCAACACCAGTAACATCAAATAGGTGATTCCGGAGCTCCGATCGTGTACCGATAAGTTCCCACCCTCGGGAGTAGAATACAAGCTCGGGTGGGGCAATAAGTTCCGGCAGGGCCCAGGACCGCGTAAACCATCTACTGCGTTTGAACGTATGTCGAAATCTGCCCTCTAGATTATCGTCAAGATTCCTGTCGGTCAGAAAAACATGGCCAGCCGGCAAAGAGCGCTCTGATTCAACGTCAGACAGATAGGCGATGCATAACGCCGCTGATTTGAAGATGCGGAAGCTGGACTCGACTGCTTCACTTCGTTCGGATTCGCTTTCGATGTCCACGCAAGAAGTATCAATCCAGATATACCTCAGCATTCGCTCTTGGGCAACAAGACAAGCGGCGTCTATCTTTCGAAGGCCAGCTCTTGGACGTAGCATTTGGCCGTCCCTCAAGTCTTGGAACAAAACCTCGTCGTGCTCCCAAAGGTGAGATAGCACCGCGTAAGGTGGAGCATTTTCAAGATCGAAGACTTCGAACTTTTTTGTCTCAGTGGATAGAAGTCTCATAACTTGTTTGCGGCTACTGGTGTATTTCTCTGCAAAAACTAGTTGATATGTTTCCCGATGATAAAGGTCTTCGTCTTGCGCACGGAGTGAGGCTTTGCGGTCGCAAAGAAGGCTGATAGGCAGCCACATCCAATGGGAAGTATGGGGTTCATGCAGTTGCTAGGGGTGAATGATTGGCTCGGTCACAATGCGCATATTCGACCGCTTGAGTTTGACAATCGCTGCGCTGGAGATGTAGGTTGATGTAATGTTCATGATTAGATTTTTGAGGCCATGTGCCGGCCGTTATGATGTAAGAGCTGAGATGGTATTCGAGCTGCTGTTCGAAAAGAAGTGCAGTCGCCGTTGTCCAGCACTCACATGATGGTATCAGATAGCTTCCGCTGCAGCCTCTCCCCAACATTCTCCTTGGCTTCCTCCTCTTTCCTCCTCTGTATCGCCTCCTTGCGGTTCTGATGGTACGACGGGTCTCGGGTAACGCCCTCGCGTCGCCATTTGCTGGGCGGCTTCAGGCCCAGCTCCGCGTACCGCGACCACACATTAACGCCGCGCCGGAACCACCTCTCCTGCCTGTCCTCTTCTTCCTCGGGCGTCGCCTGCCACTTGCTCCTCAGAATACGGCGGATCGCCTCAGGCGACATTTGAAACTTGTCGGCGAGCGTCTTCAGATCGTACTCCTCGGGGAACTGGGCGTGCAGCGCCTTGATGCCAGCAATTGCATCCGGGGACAAGCGCTTGCGCGGATTCCAGCCGTCGGGGAACTTCTTCTTTAGGGCCTCTTTTTGGAGCTGCCAGTTTTCTCGCTTCGGTTTCGCCGGCTCTTCGTCGGGTTGTTCTTCCAGTGGTCCTCTTGATGTAGCCTGCTTTCCTCCTTTTTCAAATGGTATGAAGTCACGCTTTTTGTTGTGAACGGCCGATGTCGCAAATGTGGAGGCTTGGCTGATCTGTAAGGTACGGTTGTTCTTGACGTATTGGGGGAGTCTCGGTGCGATGATGGGATCAGAGATGTGCAATTGCGAAATACCCTGGACGAAAAGCCGCAGGGGGCTCAGGCGACAAGAGCAGAGCATCGCGTGATCGTGAGGTTTCTAATTCGGGATGAGATGGGAGGCAGTCGAGCTCTGGTGTAAAGTCGGATACTTAGGTAGGTGGAGGTGAGGTTAGACAAGGAGGCGTTTGCTGGCCCGGGAAGGAGGAAAAAAAAAGTCGAGCTCGAGTCTAATTAATCTGGTTCCGCGACTGGACGGGACGGGACGCGCAGACAGGAGAAGGGAACCCGCCGCAGGGGCGCCCGGCGGAAAAGCGCCGCTGCGCCGGGTAACTGCAGGGGCTGCTGTGGAAGTGCTTGCAGCGGGGCGGCCATGGAAAGTCAGCACTCGAGAGTGGTGCCTGCCCCGCCAGCGCCTACCTTATCAGAATAAACATCGACTTCATCCCATTCTATCACCGGAGTGAACATACACAGAATGCCTATATACCCCCCTTCAATCCCATTCCTGTCACCAGAAAGCAGGCGTCCGTCTAGGTCGATGGATCAGGTCAAACTTGCTGGTTGGTGGAGTGGTTTAAGGTCAACAATCAATTTCACACCAACCAGCCTACTCGACGACAGGCTTAGCGAGTATCCGAGTTCGAATCCCAGCATGAGCACCAAGAGATGTAGCCTACCGAGGTGAACTCTTTTTTTTTTGTTCTGGCTCCTTCGTTCTTAGGTCATGTCATATATATTTGTTGATCCCAGTGGGGGGCTTTTACATCATTTGCACTAACATCAACATGGGTTTGAAGTGATCAAAGAGAAGCGCGTCTTCCACTTACACATCACATCATCAACTACAACCCGCGGCCTTACTTACACAACTCTTTCTAGTCTAATGAAGCAGAGGTACTGAAGGTTGTTCCATCCGACCGAGCTTGCGGTCAGTAGCAGTCCAACCCGAATTCCGCCTCTACCTCACAACCGAAGAGAAGTCCCAATCACGTGCAAACATCATGGTACATCCATGTCCTTGGCAGTCTTTGAGGCCGTGGGGCCAACCTTCCCAAAGCACATACCTGCATCTTCGTCCAATCTCAGTAGCAATTGCCGTCCTCTTCCCACCCGGCTTACCGGTCGACCAGTGTGGTCCAGTGATTCGCTCAGTCAGGTGTCAAACCCTCCTCATCCGAAAAGGGCCACCACTTCGGGGTCTCCAACTTCCAAGTGAAAGTTGCTCTCTCTCTCTGGTCCTGCGTTCATTGCCTTGTACTCATTTTCTTGTAGTTATTCATTTTATATGATTCCTAGAGCTTAAATTGGATGAAGACTTTGGGTTGGTCTAACAACATCTAGTTCCCGATGAGACAAGTCTTTTGAGGTCTATGAAGTCATTCCGCCCTTAGCTTGAGCTTTGCCCCCCGATTCGCCAAGGCGAACTGAACACTGACACTTCCAGGTCTTTTTCAACTTTTCTCTCCTCAACTTTATACTTGGTGCTTGGCTACGGTCTCATACATTCATTTCATCTAACTCTCCTTTTACATCGTTTACTGTCAAGACTTCGAAATCCAGTAACAGCAATGGCAGGTGTCCTTTGGTACCGGGGTGAAGAGTGGCGAGAAGTCTGGGACTACTGGTTTAAGTGGACCGACGAGCACCTCACATCCGACGACCTTCGCCCAATGATATATACTTACGATGAACTCAGCGCCGAAGCATTGGACCGACTGGATGAGATATCACCTCCCGTGGGACCCTCAGCCAACCCGAGTGAGAAAGGGGACACTCCTCAGAATGCGAAACCACATCGAGACCTGTATGCTCTCTTGAAAGACAATGCAGACACAGACGAGGTTCTGGGAAAACTATGGACTGAAATCAACACCATCCCGCCGTGGGTTGACTGGGCCCAAATAGACCGCGGACAGCAAGTCTTCCTCCGATACGCAGCCCCAACCATATTCGCCGTAAGTCCAATCCACACTCATATCGCGATGTATGTCCTCATCATAAACCTCTTAGCCCTCACTAACACCAAACCTACAGCTCACATTCCAATCCCTCGTAGGCGGTATGGGCGGCCGCCGCGTCGTAGAAACCCTCTCCAGAACAGGCGGCTTCGGCGTCAACGTCACCCGCCGCCGCCTCCTCGAGACCTTCCAGCACATCATCCAAGTCACCCGCGACCTCCCCTCCATCCAGCCCGGCGGCCATGGCCACGCCTCCTCCGTTCGGGTCCGCCTCCTCCACGCCGCCGTCCGCCGCCGCATCCTCCTCCTTGCCAAGCAGAGGCCCTCCTACTACGACGTGGCAGCCTATGGCGTCCCCGTGAACGACCTCGACTCCATCGGCACAATCACGACCTTCTCCTCCACCCTCCTCTGGATCGGTCTGCCCCGCCAAGGCATCTTCCTCAAGGACAGCGAGAAACAGGACTACCTCGCCCTCTGGCGCTACGTGGCCTACATCATGGGCACGCCCACCGACGCTTTTTCGAGCCTGAACAAGGCCAGGGCGATGATGGAGTCCTTGCTTGCCTCCGAGATCCAACCCTCCGACACCTCGCGCGTCCTCGCCAACAACGTCCTCACGGGCCTTGCCGAGCAGCCGCCCTGGCACGTCTCGAGGGAGTTCCTCGCCGCCGAGACGTACTGGCTCAACGGCCCCAAGCTCGCGCGCGCGTTGGCGGTGGAGAAGCCGCCGTTTTATTACTCGCTGCTTATACTTGGCCAGTGTCTCTTCTTCATGTTCATGTGTTACTCCCGCCGTCTGTTTCCCCGTTGGGACGAGTCGAGGAATGAGGTCAGTCACAATCTACCTTTGGATATACTCTTTTTATAATTTGTTCATATGTCGGCAACAACTTGACAAAAACGAACGCGACCCCCTTAATTACAACATGAACTTACAGTGCCCTCTAACACCCCTCCCAGAACCTCAAAAAAGCCCTCTTCAATATAACAATCAACAAACCCGAGCTCGGCGCCCTAGGCAAAGAAACAAACTTCGAATTCAAGTACATCCCGACCCTAGACGTCCCGTCCACCGAGGCAGCGGCCCGGACCCAGCAGCACCCGGACCCGTCGACTCACGAGCCCGGCTCCACCCCCGCAGATGCGAAGACGGGAGCACGAGCAGGAGCAAGCACACGCCGCGTGCGCAGCAACGAACGCCGGAGCCTCATCACATTAGGCGTGGTTGCCACCGTGGGCGGTCTGCTCGCCTGGCTGGGCATCCGCGGGGCGTCGGCCCTGTTTGGGAGGGTTCCGTGAGCATTATACCTGCCGATGAACGTGAGTCCTTGCAGGGACAAAGGTGCCCATCATACGTCAGAAACAATCGTCAGACGGCCTGGTCCCGATCGGCTGTGGGGGGCCGGATTTCTTCTGCCCTTGGTTGATGGGGTTCAAAAGCCATAGTGTAGATCACTGTATCTGAAGATCAAACCGTTTGGCCTGGCGCGCATCATTCCAGTCCACGAATCTGACTCCACAGCATGAACGTCTCTGCCGCAGGTTTCGGGTCGCAGAAGTAGTAGTAGAGCTACATATCACAATACTGAGACAGATATAGGGGTCCACGTCACTTTTCTTTGTTGGTAATCAAGTTTGTTTGTTTCGCTGTCCTTCAATACTGAAAGCGAAAGGTGAATCTAGTGTACAGGAAAAGACCTTGTGTGCTTCTTAGCAACACAGGAGAAACTTTTTTTGCGCAACAAATTGGCTCGTTGGCCAGCAGGAACGACAGTGTGACAGTGCCGATCCCATTCGAATAGTATTCCTCCTCAATCCAAAAGTGTACCGCTCCAATGTGCAAGCTGTGGTCTTTCCGTTAAACGCCATCGCAAGCCCATTCGATGCTAGATGCGTGCCCAAAGTTCCTGAACCGCCACAATCCCAATATCGTACCATCCAACGCCTGACCAAGATCGCTCTTTAAAAAAAAAACAAATTGGGTTGAAATCAAAGAATTATGCGTGGTGCATTAGCTCCACGGGTGGGCGAGAAGTATGCGCCATGATGGGCTTCGGCTCGATAGGACTGAACTCCATTGGCTCGTCGGTCATGTCCTCGAGGCAGATGGCAGGCAAATCGGGACTGGTGCCGTTGACGTCAGGCTGGTAGAGCAGGGTTGAGCTCCTGCTGCGAGTTTGTCTTGAACCGTCGACGGGGCTGATGGGGGTCTCGACGCCCGTCGGGCGGTGGTGGAGCTTGGCCAGCGCATCGGCGAGGTCCTCTGCGTGCACCATCTTGTTGGGGGCGTCCTCCAGCTTCATCTCCCAGCCGTGGGGGGGCGAGGGAGGGGGAGAGATGAAGAAGAGCTTTCCGGCGTCGGGCAGGGCGAGATGGCGGTCGGTGACCTCGACGGGAGTGGGCTGGCCAAAGTAGACGCGGACGCGCTCGCCCATGACGGCTTCACCGTCCCAGACACGGCGGACGGCGATGGCGTCGTCCTCTGAGAAGAAGGAGACGACGATGCGGCGGAAGGACTTGAGTGGTGCCCATGAGTGGACTGGCGCCGTCTTGAGGATGAGGTCGCGGATGGTCTGGAGGTTGTCGGGGCGGAAGATGGAGGTGTCGTTGAGGTTTGTGAAGAGGAGGGTGTTTGTGGGTGGCGTCGGCTGGACCAGAGGCGGCAGAGACGAAAGATCGAGGGAGAGCGACTTGTTGGAGCCGGTCGAGCGTCTCGAGAAGATGGGGCGGGTATCCAACTGAGGTGATTCCATTTTGGATGGTTGTGTATGTGTATGTGTATGTGGTTGAGGTGTGAGTTTTGCGGTGTGTGTGGCGGGGAGGTCGTTTTCCAGCTCTTGACTGTGTACTCTACGCAGATTGTGTAGTGATATAATTCATCTGCAGAAGAGAGGCTTGCAGTAGTGCAGTTTGTTTGTGTAGTGTTTTGGTTGTTGCTGGAGTTGGAGCGAAGAATGATCGTGGTGGTTGCGGGAGGCGGTCTTGGTTATATGTTTGAGCGTGCCAGTGAGAGAGTGGCTTGGCCAAGCGCTACTGAGGGACTACTGGGGTCGGGCGGAGTGTGGGATGGTTGGATGGTGGACGGTGCCAGGCTTGCCAGGTGGATGGTGGATGGCTG